AAAAATGAGACCTTTTTATCAGCTGTCACTATTAAGAGAGTGAAAAATAGAAGCTATTAGTGGGAAACGCTATTTCCTGTAGATAGCATCCCAGGATTCTATAAGACTAATGTAAGCCAATAAGAGGAAGGTAACTCAGAATAAAAATAAGCACAAGACTTGATCAGGCACATAAACAGATATCCAAACACGAGCAAACATATAATAAAAGCCTGAACATTTCCAGTCGTGAGAGAAATGCAAATTAAAATCACAGTGAAATACCACTATGCCTCGACCTGAAGCCCTGGGGTTAATGAGAATGTGAAGCAACTGGAGTGCCCATCTGTGGAAGGCGGGAATGCAAAATGATGTGGGCACTTTGGGATGGAGTTGGATCCATCTCACTGGGTCCCAATATAGTCACAACCCCAGCCTGGAAGTCACTTTCCTTCATTACTCTCTCAAGCCAAACACTAAATTATATAGCCAAATGACAGTGATTTTAAGACACATCATTTTCATTTGAACATATTTTTACATTTAATAAGGATGTGTGTTAGGGCGGGTTCCCTAGAGAAGCAAAACCAGTCATATATGTATGTGTGTGTGTATATATGTACATAATATATGACTATATGTATATAATACATGCATACATAACATATACATACAAAACCAGTTGTATATGCACAACACTTAATATATATGTAGTGAGAAATTTATATCAAAGTGGCTCACACAGTTGTAGAAGTAGGTAAGTCCAATCAGTGTTAAGTCCATGAGTCAGATGTTCAGCTGGAAGCTTCTCCTGACAGGCATAGGTTTGGGGACTGAAGAATCCAGGTTTTGCAGGAAAACCACGGGCTGTGGATAAGCACAAGGTCAGCAGGTCAGACGGCAGGCTGCTGATGGCTCTTAGGATTGGCAGGCAATATGGCAGGCCTTGGCTCAGGTCCAAAGAACTAGAGGCCGTCATCCGTCAGATGCAGGATCCAGACCGAGCCAAAAGGGAGCAAGCTTCCCACAGCATCCTGAGGGCCACGCCCCTGAGGAAACTTCCTTTCAATGGCATCAGAACCATGAACCGACTGAAGGGCTTGCTCTCTGTTCTAGTCCTCTTACAGCCGATGGACTGCTCATAGCCAGTCCCATTGTGCAGTTCATTACATTGTGCTATGCAACATCAGGGCGGATTAGTAGGCCTTAACTGCCAAACCAGTAAGAGTGCTGACCCAGTCAAGTTGACATAAAACCCGACTATCACAAGACGCATCATGGTTTAATTTCATGTTTTTCTTCCTTTTCTTACACTTGACTTTTTAGATGTGATTTGTCGCAGGTCGGGCTCCTTGCCAGCCCTTTAGTCTGCTCCTACTCTATCAACAAATACCATACAGGACGATAAGCTCCTGAAAAGCCGTGTGAGCCCAAAACTCAGATTGCTGGATCAAAAGGCATTGACCTTTTGTCTAGTTATTTTATACATGACATAATTAATACATAAATACATATTTTTAAAATCCATTATATTTTTAAAATCCATTATATTACACCAAACCTTAGTCCCACACTAAGGCAGTCAGTGTCAACCCTTTGAAAATATCTTCTTCCAGACCAGACCCAGTTCTTTTCACTTATATGCATAAGAATATATGGGGTGCAGATTACTAATATACGACAAATTGTGGTCAGAGGCACCCTTCTAATAATAAATGAGAGACATCTTTCTCCTTTGAGTGGTTGGTAAGTTTGAAGCTCACACCTTGTGGCGAACAGTCCAGCACCTAACCAGTACCAGTGCCATCCGGGTTCCTTCTAAACTTGCAGGCACGGGTTGCTGTATGATGGGACTCCCAGTCCCTTATCTCTTCATTCCATTTTCCCATGAAACTTCTTGGAGCCCCCTCCTCCATACAGACATTTCCCAGATCTGTCTTTGGTGAGAGCCTAGAAGTGACAACCACTCCCATAGCAAAAATCATCCCTGGTATCCAGATCTTGGATCCCAATCCCAGTCTTCAATCAAAGTACTCCATGTAGAAGGGATTGAGTCCAGGGCTGGGGCCAGGAGACAGCACTTGAGCCTGGAACGTGTGCAGGGCTAGAGAGTTAGGAGGAAGTCACGAAGGAACGTAACCAAGCTGCAAGGGCGTCTCAAAAGCCACCCTGGAGGGTGTCCCACTGAAGGAAGTCTGGAAGACTTCAGCAAAAATGCACGCTGATAGCCTTGCAGAATAACCCACAAATGAAATAGTTACGCGAGTATTGGACCATAATTATCAGATGTGGAACAATATCAATAAATGTCTTCAGCTCTTTATCGATTCCATTTCTAAATGGTTTTCCATCCAGTGAGTAAAAATCAGATCGCGTGGCTTAAATCCGCACTTCCTGACAAACAGGATGCAAATCTATTCATCTGGACGATTTTCCAGGATTTCAGGGAACTCCCGTTTCACACTGCCCCAGCATCACCAAGCTACACAATATTTTTCCTAGGGTTTTTGTTCTATTTTATTAGTTTTGGCTTCGATCTTCACTCCATTTCAAATTGTATTATACGTACGAGAATGTATTTTTTCCAGCCAGATAGCCATCTGTCCGTGCTTTCTGTGAATCTTCCTCAAATCTCTCAATTATTCTAATTGTATTGTATATTACCTTCTCACATATACTTGGAATGGTTGTTGGACTGCATTAGTTTTTTCACTAATCTATTTTGTCTAGTTTTGTCTCAGTCCCATAGTTTTAATAATTTTAGCACTATAAAATGTATGAAATTTAACTTTTAATATCTAATGAAGAAAATTCCCCTAATTGAAACTTAAAAAAAAAAAAACGACTGGCAAGTTTGTATGTTTATCTTTTTATTAATGTTCTTTAATGTTTTGCCATATTTTTGAAAACTTGGTTTTCTTGTTAGAGTTGCAGATTTCTATTTATTTAAGAAGGATAGATCTATTAATGAGAATGTATCCACCTGCCAAGTTTTATTCTGTTTTGTCTTTTTGCCCTCTGCCTTTTGGTAATTTAAAGAATTATTTCCTTTTTGTGTCTCAGATTTTTCTTAAGCTTATTGTGAACTTTCAAGTTTTCCCACTTATTCTAGGTTTTTTTCAAAGACGCTTAGAAACGCTCTTGTCCTTTTAATGCAAATTTTACTTTCTTGTTTTTTTTACATTAGCTGGAGCCTTAAAGATAGTGAGCAATAGAGACCCTCGGGGCATCCTGGTGGTGTAGTAGTCCTGCGTGAGATGGGATGCTAACTACAAGATCAGCAGGTTTGAGACCAGCAGCCGCTCCACAGGAGGAAGGTGTGGAGTCTATTCCCATAAAGCAGCAGTTCTCAACCTTTCTCATGCCGAGACCCTAATACTTCCTCGTGTTGTGGTGACCCCCCAACCATAAAATTATTTTCATTGCTACTTCATCACTGTTTTTCTGCTACTGGTATGAATCGGGCAACCCCTGTGAAAAGGTCATTCAACCCCCAAAGGGGTTGCGACCCACAGGTTGAGAACCGCTGCTGTAAAGATTTGAAAACCCACAGGGGCAGTTTCCCCCTGTCCTGGAGGGAACTTGAGCTGGAACTGACTCCCCGGTGGTGAGCTGAGCTGAGCTGACATCCAAGGTTGGATCCTGGTTTTAAAAGCTTTAATGGCTGTGGCATCTGGAGGAGGGTGCAGGTGACATGAAAATGACCGGCTATAAAATGTGCAGATTTTATCTTTGTTATGAGAATATCCCCATAGTCAACAACAACAAAAACGTTTTTTTTTTAATCCTTTTATTGGGGGCTCTTACAGCTCATATCACAATCCGTACATCCATCTATTGTGTCAAGCACATTGGTGCATATGTTGCCATCATCATTTTCAAAACATTTTCTTTCTACTTGAGCCCTTGATATCAGCTCATTTCCCCCCTCCCCCACTATCCCTTCCTCAGGATCCCTTGATAATTTATAAATTATTATTTTTTTCATGTCTTACACTGTCCGATGTCTCCCATCACCCACTTTTCTGTTGTCCGTCCCCCAGGGAGGGCATTATATGTAGATCATTGTGATCGGTTCCCCTTTCTCCCCACACCTTCCCCTTCCCCTCCTGGTATCACTACTCTCATTATTGGTCCGGAGGGGGTTATTTGTCCTGGATTTCCTGTGTTTCAGGCTCTTAT